CATCATTGCAGTTCCTTCGATTACTCCGTTTAAAATACTTGCTTTTTGCCCACATTTGAGAGAATTATTCAGAATTGCTTTACAAACATGGAAAAACACTATTATTTTATTATCAGACAAGTAATATGCACAAAATGCAGAAAAATTAGGGGAAAAAAGACAAAATAAAACAACATTATTACCTATAATTCCAACACTCTAAGATAACATCCTCGTTAACAATTTGTTATATTTACTTTCAGATTGTTATATATTATACATACATACACACCTTTATATATATCAATTTTCAATATAATTGGTATCAAAAAATAGAAATTTCTATATATTCTGATATATTAAAAGTCAATATGATCTAATTTTTTTTTAAATTTTGTAGCATGTATTTTTACTTGAAATTATATTCCATTACCACCTTTCCAAGGAGCCCTGGTGGCACAGTGTTTAAGCCCTCGGCTACTAACTAAAAGGTCAGCAGTTCAAACCCACCATCCACTCTACGAGAGAAAGATGTGATAGTCTGATTCCATAAAGATTTACAGCCTTGTAAACCCTATGGAGCAGTTCTACTCTATTGTATAGGGTCACTATGAGTCAGTCACCTTGACAGCACACAACAGCAACACCACCATCACCTTTCCACATTGTAAATACACATCTACAGCAATGTTAAGTGGTACAGCACCAAAACTCAAATGTATCATATGTCACGGTCTGGATAGACCACAATTGATGCCCTCTACACCTACTGCTGGACATTTGGGTGTTTTTCACTACTATTCACGTTGCTGTGATAGCCATCCTGGGGACAAATTTTTTCACCCTTGCCAGACAATTTTCTTAGAATAAAAGTGGAATAGCTGGGGCAAGGGGGATATGCATTTTTAAGGCTTCTCATACATATGCCGAAATTATCTCCCTGAAAGGCTGCAGAGAGTGATCCTCAGATGCTTTATAAATTTTTAACTGCTCTAATATCAAATGAAGATGCTCTGGTGGTGCAGTGGTTAAGTGGTCTGCTACTAACCAAAAGGCTGGCAGTTTGAACCCGCCAGCCACTCCACGAGAGAAAAATGTGGCAGTCTGCTTCCATAAAGTTTATAGCCTTGGAAACCCTATGAGGCAGTTCTACTCTGTCCTATAAGGTCACTATGAGTTGGAATTAACTCAATGGCAATGGATTTGGTTTTTTAAATACCAAATGATGTACATAAAAGTCCTGACAACCAGAACTCCCTCGTCCAATAGTAATTATCACTTCTGGCTTATTATAACTGCAATTAAACAAAAGCGGCAAAGAAAATGATTTCCTGAGAATCCATTGAAATGCTGACGTAATTGTGAGACTTGGGGTGGGTCTTGTCCTGCTAAGCACAGGAATAAGCTTTGCTGCTCTACGTTGTTCGACATCAATTCCAGTCAATACAAACTCACTCTTACACAATAGTGTGAATTCCTGGTGCACAGGCCAACTACCACTAGGTGACATTTGGAAAAAAAAAAAGTTTGAAAGATGAGTGTTAGCCCAGTTGCTTCATGAGAAGGGTGAAATTTCAGATATTTAAGAGAGCGATGGATACCCAACTGTCACATCAAATGTGGCTTCAATCTTGTATTTTCAAATGATCTGGCAGGTAAATTTGTGTGTGTGTTTTTCCTTTGTTCATGAATGTGTTTAATTCATGTATGTAGAAGTCTGAAAAAGTACGCCTGTGATCCTTACATACCGCCTTTGTGGTTGGTCTCTCTGCCCACCTCACCCGTCCCTCTAGACAAAAGCTCATGGCTTTGCCATCAATTTTCACCAACATCCTGCTGTACTGAGATGAGCAAGCTGTATTACCTATAATTCATTACTAACAACAGCTAAAGGAATAAAATTTATAGATGATTCCATTGCTTCATATCCAGCTGAGCTTACTCAAGGCTATCCCAAATACTTTTTTTGCATCCTATATACTGTTTTGAAGGAGCTCTGGTGATGCAGTGGTAAAGTGATCGGCTGCTTACCAAAAGGTTGGTGGTTAGAGCCCACCAGCCGCTCTTTGGGAGAAAGATGTTGCAGTCTGCTGCCTTAAAAATTTACAGCCTTGGAAACCCTATGGGGTAGTTCTACTCTGTCCTATAAGGTTGCTATGAGTCAGACTTTGACTCAACAGCAGTGGGTTTGTTTTCTGTTTGTTTGTTTGTTTTTATATACTTTCTTGGGTGGGTGAGAAGGAGCTGCAGTTGCAAGTACTCTAGCGAGTTGCTACAGACTCTTCCCCTTAATCGGAGCTGGGACTATGAACTGGGTAACCCAAGAGAAAAGCGGCAGAGAATCAAGCAGCCAGTAATATTCTCACTCTCCATCCGCCACCAACCTCACCACAAGCACTATTCAGCATGGATACAGCTGTACTCTTCACCTTCCACTTTCCCCTTAAAAGGCCCCGAGAGTGGGCACCACAGCCCAATTTCATCCTCAGAGCCAGTGAGTGATGGTGACTGCAGAGAAAGCCAGCGCTTCGTCCCACTGGTCCATGTTAACTTCTGTTATCTCGTCCCCCCATTTTCTCACTGCCTTCGAAAAACACTCTAAACACAGTGCTACCAATCAGACTTTCTCAAACTTCATTTTGTCATTTATTTTTTTCTGTTAACCTTTTCTCTTTGTTTATTACGCAACTAATTAATATTTTTTACACAGTAACAGGAAATATACATAGGCTAAGAAAAAGAAATAAAATATCCCCTAATCTCACCCCCAAGAGAGAATCACTGCTAGCATTTTAGGGTATGTTCTTCTATATCTTTGACATGGGTATATCCACATATGTAATTTTTCAAAAACCAGAAACAGAATCATGCTATATATGTTACTTTGTCTGTTAGGTTCCTAGGGCTTGCTTAGTAAATTACCAGAAACTGGGTGGCTGAAAACAACAGAAATGTATTCTCTTCACAGTTCAGGAGGACAGAATGTGAAATCAAGGGGTCAGAAGGGTTAGTTCCTTCCGGAGGCTCTGAGCGGGGACTCTGTTCCTGGCCTCTCTCCTTGCTTCTAGTGGTTACCGGCAGTTCTTGGTGCCCCTTGGCACAGAGACACATCACTACGCTCTGCCTCTGTCTTCACGTTGCTTGGTTTCTCTGTGTCCCTCTTTGTCCTCTCCTCTTTACAAGAACGGCAATCATTGGATTCAGGGCCTGCCCTAAATCCAGTATGAGCTCATCTCAAGATTCTTAACTAATTATATCTGCAAAGACCCTATTTCCAAATAAGGTCACATTCTCAGGCCCATAAAACAGAATGAGACTAAATGGGCACACCAGCCCAGGGTCAAGGATGAGAAGGCAGGAGGGGACAGGAAAGCTGGTAAGGGGGAACCCAAGATCAAGAAAGGGAGTGTGGATAATGCTGTGGGGTTGGCAACCAATGTCACAGAACAGTAGGTGTATTGTCTAACGAGAAACTAGTTTGCTCTGTAAACCTTCATCTAAAGTACAATAAAAAATAAAGTCACATTCTGAGACTCCAGGTGGACATGAGTTTTTTTGTGGGGGAGGGGGACAGTGCTTAACCCACTATACTTTGTAACATGTTTTCTCACTTAAAAAACTCACACATCTCTGTATGTCAGAGTATACTTACATAAGTATATTACCATTATGTTTAACCACCGTGTACTATTCCATTGTTCAGATGCACAATAATTTACTTGATCTGTCTTCTATTGTGAGATGTACAGGTGGTTTCCAATAGTTTGCTATTACTAGCAGCATTCTGTTGAGCAATTTTGTTCATAAATCTGTATGCCCATACAGGAAAATTCCTTCTGGATGCTTGACAGCAGAGGAATTGTTAGACCTAAGGACACTCCCATTTTTAAAGCATTTGGTATGCACTGACAAATTACCCTTCAAAAAAGCCATCCCATAGTATTCTCTAACTAGCGTCATCTGAGCGCACCCATTTTCCCATGATTTCTTGGCATTTCTTCTTAATTAAAAAAAAAAAAATCCTAATATTGCAGGAATTAATTTTAAGACAGGATAATCCATATAGTATTCTTATTATTCTTTCTCCAAACTTAGAGCTGAGAAAGCGACTGTTATATAAAAATGTAGTTCACTTAACTCTTTATGGTGACCTGGTATCAACCTACATGTAATGGATTTTAAGTACTGTGGGGTTTCCTGTATGCCTAGTCAAAGAAAATGAATGAAGGAAAGGGAAAGAGAAGCCCACGAACAATTATGAGGATAATTCACTTATAAAATCCTGCAATAGGGGCAGGAAGAGGGAAAAAGAGTACCTTTGCATCTTTACATTGCCCACATTCAGCTCTCCAAATCAGCTGCCCATGCAACCAACAACAGGAAATTATTGTCTAATTCCTTGTTTCACGTTGAGTATAATGCTATTAACAATAAACCAAACCTGCTGCTGGTGAGTCGACTCCAACTCACAGCAACCCTGTAGGACAGAGCAGAACTGTCCCATAGGGTTTTCAAGGTTGCAAATCTTTACAGAAGCAGACTGCCATATCTTTCTTCCACGGAGCGGCGGGTGGGTTTGAACCGTCAACCCTTCAATTAACAGTCAAGCGCTTAACCACTGCACCACCAAGGCTCCTTGCTAATACTAATGGCTGCCATTTATCAAACGCCTGCTATGTCAGGAATCTGGCAATTCAATCTTCTTGATAAGGTAGGAATTGTTCCCCCATTCTACAAACAACAGGCACCGAAAGGGCGAGTAATTTGTCCAAGGTCACACACCTGGAAACAGGGTCAAAACAGGATCAGAGCTCAGGTCTGCCTGCCTCCAAAGCCCTTGCTATTTCCATTGTGCAGCACGGCCTCTCTTTGGTGTAGAAATGGACTCTGTGATGCCTGGGTCCTCTCAAATCTGCGTCACACATTCCAGGTGAATTCATGAGCCTCCGGAAATTAAGCCTGGTCGTTTGTAACAGCTGTATTAACACTTTTTTTTCTTTCATTTCTTGGCTTCCCATTAGGTCCCAGACAAGCCAATGAAGAGTATCAAGTATATGAACAAGGAAATAATAAACCTCAAAAAAGACCTTATACGTAGTCGGTAAGTAAGCTCCACACATCTATAGACAACCTGACATTGATGAGCAGGCTATGGGGTTGTGGTTACAAGCCCTGTCAAGTCCAAATTTCCCCAACCCTAAACATTAAGCAGATTTATGGGGGAGTAACCTTGTGAGGAGCCCTGCTGGCACAGTGGTTAAAGTGATCGACTGCTAACTGAAAGGTCAGCAGTTCAAAACCACCAGCAGCTCTGTGGGAGAAAGATGCAGCAGTCTGCTTCTGTAAAGATTTACAGCTTTAGAAACCCTATAGGGTCACTATGAGTCGGAGTCAACTTGACAGCAATGGGTTTTTGGTTTTTTTAACCTTGTAAGGGGAACCCCTGGGTAGGGACATACTCGGCTGCTAACCAAAAGGTTGGCAGTTCAAGTCCACCAAGAGGCACCTTAGAAGAAAGGCCTGGTGATTTACTTCTAAAAACTAATCACTGAAAACCCCGTGGAGCATAGTTCTACTCTGACACACATGGGGTCGCCATGAGTTGAAAGCAACTCAACAGCTACTGCTTTGTTTTGTTTTCTTTTTTAAGTATCTGGACAGGGGAATACTATATAATGGGGTGGTACTACAAATATCTTCCCAATTCTGTGTTCACTGATGCCATGTCGGTAGTCCAAAATTAGCCATGGTGGGAATATATACCTCATGGAAATCAGCAACTGCTACAAAATCAGGGGTAGTCCCACCCCCACCCCCAGGGAGCCAGTTGTTAAACATTCACCAGCACACCACTGGGGACAAGCCTCAAGACTGACTAAGGCTGAATTTCTCAGTAACCTAGTACAATAGAGGGCCCTGATTAAAACGCGATAAAGAACAGTGCCTTTTCTGCCACCCCTGTGTTGGCGAGCTTAGTCTGTCACTCCTGCTAAACCCATTTACTGTGGCTCGGAAACAAGCTAGAATTTAACGCCTTTATCAGACAGGCTTAGCCCTTCCAACTGCGGACATGAAGGAGAATGAGGAAAAAGCCAGACAGAAAAGCCACAAGCAGGGAAAAAAGAAATGATAGTAAAACGTTTCAGCTGGCCACACTCCTGGATCTCACTGACATTTAAGGAACCAGCGATTTCACTTCAGAAGGAAATGTCCTGTTTTCCAAGGGAAGTCATCTCTCCATGAAGTACAAACCCTGTGGCCCCATCTCCCAGATTTAAGGAGGCAAAGTGTTAGCAAAGAAGATATTGTCTTTTCCACTCATTGTTTTCCAAATTTTTTCACTTCCTATTAGTCTAGGTCCCTAAGTGTTGCAGGACCTCTTTAAAGTGCTAAAAAGCAAAGATGTCACTTTGAGAACTAAGGTGCGCCTGGTACTAGCCACGGTATTTTCAGTCGCCTCATATGCAGGCAAAAGCTGGACAATAAGGAACACCGAAGAAGAATTCATGCATTTTAACTGTGTGTTGGTGAAGAATACTGAATACACCACGGACCGCCAGAAGAAAGAACATGTCTGTCTTGGAAGAAGTACAGTCAGAATGCTCCTTAGAAGCCACAATGGCAAGACTTCCTGTCATGTACTTTGGATCCTGTTATCATCAGGGATCAGTCCCTGGAGAAGGACATCATGTTTGGTAAAGCAGAGATCAGTGAAAGAGAGGAAGACCCTTAATGAGATAGACTGGCACAGTGCCTGCAACAGTGGGCTCAAGCGTAGCAACGACTTTGAGAATGGCATAAGACTGGGCAGTGTTTCGTTCTGTTGTACATGGGGTCGCTATGAGTCAGACCCGACTCGACAGCATCCAACAACAACAACAACAACAACTGGGTGGTGCAAACAGTTAACACTTGGCTGCTAACTGAAAGGTTGGTGGTTAAAACCCACCCAGCAGTGTTGTGGAAGAAAAGCCTGGTGATCAACTTCTGTAAGATTACAGCCATTGAAAACCCTATGGAGCATAGGTCTACTCTGAAACACACGGGGTCACCACAAGTCAGAATCAACTCTACAGCAACTGGCTTTTTGTTTTTTTTTTTTGGTATTAGAGTCTAGCCCACCTTGAGCCAAACACCTTGACTGTCTCCTGGATTTTTTATTTAATACTTCAGCCCTCTTATAATTCAATTGCATCATCCCTGGTTTCATGGCCAATTTCACATGATGCTAAAAAGAATAAAAACCTAACTGCTTTCCTTCTCGCCTGTTCCACCAGATGTTCAGTGGCGCTAAGCAGCACACTGCGCACTTACTTGCTGAATTTCTCCTAGCAGAAGATAACATTCAGGCATCTGCACGTACCCACTTCTTGGTTGATGCTTGAAGCCAATGGCATATTTTCCTCCAAAGCTGCCAGAAGTTTTTAATGCAAGTGTTTTAAGGAAAATAAACATCTCTCTGCAACTACAACAGAAAGGCTGAATCTGAAGCTATGATTTACCCGTGGGAAGGTTTAGTTAGGTAGAAGCAATTGCAAACAAACAATGACAAATTACACCCCCAGCCGACTACAGCAGGCTACAGATTACGCAAGTGTTTAAGAGGTCTGGAGACTGCTTTCCAGCTGCATTCGGTAGACAGCAGAAGCAAGGCAATTAGAAGCAACAAAGGTGGAATTTTGGTAAAGGAAGAAGTGGTGTTCTTTGTATTGGGTTAGGCACTTCCTCTTGGTGCCTCCATAGCTCTCTGCGCTCATTCTTTTTCTTCTTTTCAACAAAGATTTATTAAGTACCAGGTATCACCAGGTATATGCCAGGTGTCCTGTATGTTGAAGACACAGCAGTGAACAAAACAGACAAGACTCTTGTCCTCAGTGAATAAGAGACGATGATCTATATTATAATGGGAGTAAAGATGACAATCAAATCAGCAAGGAAATAAACAGGATTGGGGGGGTGTTGCTGATACACTATGAAGACTATAAAACAAGGTGCTGTGTAGAGCATGGTGGGGGGAGAAGCTGCCACTTTAGCTAGAGTGGCCGGCAAAGGCGAATTCCGTAAAGGGGACTCTGAACATGATACCTGAATGTTGAGAACGAAACAGTCACATACAGGGAAGAAAGAGGTAGAGTATTTCAGAGGACAACAGGTGAGTGGGTGAGAAAGTTGGACAAAACTGGAAATGTGGGTGGAACAGAAAGATGACCAGTGTGCCTGGAGCGGAGTGAGAGAGGGTGAGAGAAGCAAGAGAGGTGGGCAAGGGCCGTTTTTTCTCATACAGGACCTTGCAGGCCATGCTGAAACACTGAGTTTTCATCTCAATGCAGTGAGAAGCTATTGGAGGGTTCTGAGCAAGAGAAGGATGTGATCTGATGTTTAAAATAACATTCCATCTACTGCACAGAGACCAGCTGGAAGGTTATGATGACAGATGACAGTGGCTCGGATCAGAGAAACAGCAGTGAACTAGAGAGACGGGGATGGATTCAGGATTTATTTGGAGGTAGGGCCACAGCACTGACTAATGAATGGCACATGGCAGACGAAGGAAAGGGCAGCTTCAATGTGCGACAATGACCTGTTTCCATCTCTGCCTCCCATGCTAGGAAGTAAGATCTATCAGTGTGGACTCTGTCATGTCCCCTGTCCTGGTCCTGAGTGAGTAAATGTTTGTTGACAGGGTGAATTAACTCTCCTGCCCACTTCTAGAACTTAGCAGTTAAAAATCAGGGGGAAGGCTCGTACATTAACGTAGTGGGGAAAGTGAGTAAGGGAGAGGGTTTATGTATAAATCTGTAGAGTAAATCGGTAGATAGGATGGCTGGGCCATTGCTTGAGGACTTCTAGGTGAGCCTGCTGACCTCATCTTTTCCATTCAAGCAGGGGTGTCCACTCTGGCTTATCAGAGTCTGACGTGTGACTGGAAAAAGGAGGCATTAATGTTGTCTTACAAAAGAGTCAACCTGTTCTGTGAATCCCCTGGGTCCAGCTCGTGCTTGGCATAGAGTAGGCACTCAATATTTGCTGAAGTTCTTATTTGCATAACACTTAAAATCTTCCCTGAGGCAGGCAAGACAGGTCTGGTTGATTCATTTCTTGGATAAGAAAACTGAGACTCAGAGAAATTCAGAGATTTTCTTGAAGTCATTGCATCAGTTAGCTATTACTGCATAACAAACATAAAATTCAGTAGCTTAAAACAACAAGCAATTATTATTACTTATAAGCATTATTATTGCTGATGAGTTCATGGTTCAGCTAGGAAGTTATCTGGTCTCAGCTGAACTCTCTTGTATATCTGTAATCAGCGGAGGGTCAGGCAGGTGCCTTTGCTGATCTTGGCTGGGCTCTCTCACGTTTGGAGGTCAGCTGGCTGTTAGAAGATCTATGATGGTCTTGGCCAAAACAATAAGAGCTCTCATCTCAAACAAGTTAGCCAGAGCTTATTCTCATGACTCAAGGTTTTGAGAGAGAACAAAAATTTCTTGAGCTTTAGGCTAGTAAATGGCAAAACATCACTTCAGCCATAATCTATTGGCCCAAGCAAATCACAAAGCCAGCCCAGATTAAAGGTGAGGGAATAGACTCCACCTCTTGATGGGAAGAGCTTCTACATCACCTTGAAAAGGGGTGGAGATTTAGGGCCATATTTTCAATCTACGACAGTCATCTAGCCAATTCTGAGCTGGACTTTGAAATATAAGCTAGTTTCAAAAGATAATCTGTAGAAATCCAAGTCTCATCCTTGGGAAAATAAAATGGAAAACACGTCAAAAACATAGCAGGTAGCAGTGGGAGTACAAGTTGCAAGGCCATGAGAAAGGGGACCCAGAGAGGCCACAATGAGCTGTGTGGAAGCCAAAGGTGTAAAGGAACAATGGCTATTAATGAGCTGTTGTTGTTAGGTGCTATCAGGTCATTTCCAACTCATAGGGACCCTGTGCACCACAGAACAAAACACTGCCCAGTCCTGTGCCATGCTCACAATCATTGTTATGCTTGAGCCTATTGTTGCAGCCACTGTGTCAGTCCATCTCACTGAGGGTCTTGCTCTTTTTCACTGACCCTGTACTTTACCAAGCATGATGTCCTTCTCCA